GGAAAAATGTCTGATTGAACTTAGATGTCTAAGTGTTTGATTTCAAACATAAATCAGGAAAAGAGCACCATTTTATATCTATCATTATTCTGTGTTTTGTTTCCATTTCCAAATGAATGGCTGTTCAGTTGTACCAATACTTTGAATTTTTTTTTAATCCGAATTTATGTATTTTCCTGTCATCAGTTCTCTATGAAGAGACCTTATAAGTAATAAAGGATGACCAAATATAGAAACACAGGGACAGAATAAAGGACTGATTATCAAGAGATCCTGTTTGACAGAAGTATTTGGAGCTTCATTACTTGCCTATGAGCTGGAATTTGATCAAGTTACATGCAATTACTGATTTTTTTTCCACACAAAAAATACAAAAACCTGTTCTGTATTTTCTGTGTTCACTCACTATATTGGAATAGAGCTAGAATTACTGCAGCCACTGTTCCAACTAGTAATTATAAACAATTGGAAAATTGCAGTTTTCATATCTTCCATGAAACCAGCTACACAATTCTCACGCCATGGTTTTCATAATACCCCATTTATTAATGCATACAAATGTAAGATACAGTTTATGCTTTCATGGGGTAGTGCTTCTTCCCTTTTGTTTATCTGAAAAATACTAATGGCCTCCAAACACATTTATTCTTACCTATGAGACATCTGCCGATACAGCCTATTAAATATTCTGAAACAGCAATTCATAAGGGAATTGTATTTGGAATAAGCATCTACTTCATTAAAACAAGAAGAAAAAAACAAGGGTGATTATTTTGATTAAATGACAAGACTAATACACACAAAATAAAAAAAAACTGCTGATTTGAATACTATCTTCGAAGGATAAATGCTTTATCTAGATTATGGTTGACAACTCTGAATAGTTTTCCCTTGCTTGAGGTAGTTTACTGAGTTGATCCAAGTTTTGATAAACTGCTGGATACAGGGTCCATTCCATAGCAAAGACATGGTTATTTATTCTTAGGTGTAGGTTTTCAGTATATTATATGTTATATGGTATATTTCCTCACCTTAGAGGAAATCAGGCTGCATATGACACAAAAAAGGCTATTCTATTCATGGTTCTGGATCTTAAACTTCAAAGGTTTTGCTTTACTCAAAGAGTCTATCCCCCTCCATAGCCAAGTTCCTCTTGGTGCAGTTTTCAGCATGACTAGTCTCAAGTAATGGATTTTTATTTTGAACCCAAACTATTTTTGCTTTTACTTGCATTAACAGCAGAGCATTCTCTGGATCAGTATACTGGATTGACCAAATATCAAAGTAACTTAATGCACTGAACTTCTAACTCTACTATATCTAACTTTCATCACCGACTCTCCTTTTATATTTGGCTTCCAGAACCTTTTTTTTTTTTATTAAAAGAAAAAAAAGACAAAGAACAAAACTAAAAACAGCAACCAGCAGCCTCTATTCTCTATTATCAAGTGATCCCACGTTTAGCTTTGTTAGATTGAGATCAGCCTTCCACCCACTGATCCCCTGTGTAGCTAGCCCCTAGGCTAATGAAATCCACTCTTAAGGTTCATGTTACTGTAACATGCAGGCAGCCTTATGCAATTGTCAGTGAGTGCCTCCATTAACAGCTCCTGAGACCCAGATTGATAATACCATAAGCCTCCTTCCTTGCCACAAGTTATATGAAGCAAGGAAGAACAGGGAAGCCATGGTTTAATGCTAGAGTAAATTTGACTGCAGGAATTCCAGTAAAAGGTATTCCAATAAAAGACATCCCAACTACACCATGTTCACTGTGGATTCACTGCAGTAACAGAGAGACTAAAGCTTACTGAAAATTAGTCAGATCAGATGTTATGTTTGTTGCCATAACTGACAAGAGGCAATAAGGCTTTTATAATCTTCATTTTGTTTGCTGATGATGACTTGACAAGAACTAATTGCATGCTCAAACCCAGTCAGAAAAAACTTTTAATACTAGGCGGTCTATTACTACTTACTGTGCCCAACACACAGACAGGGCATCTAAAATATAGAGCTCACATTTAAAAATAATATATATATATATATATATATATATATATAAAATCTTGCTTTGCACTGTTGTTTGCTATTGCATTTCTACTATTTTCACAATTATGCTGAATCCCACACTTTGAAGTTCAGCACAGCTTTGCTGCTGTATCATCCCAACCCTTGATCAAAGGATGAAGCTCTGCATTTACCCTAGACAATACCACAAAACCCCTTCACTGATGACAGTCCCAAGAAAAGGGCAAAGGGAGCTTTGGCCACACATATTCCTAGTTACAGTTCTTTGCAATACAGCTCTAAGTACTAGCTTCAAAACACTGCTGCCTGTGCACAAATCCAGCTGAAGGCACTTCAGGGTTAACAAAACAGTTAAGTTATCTGCTCCTTAACAGTTGCACTGCTGTTTCCACAAACCCAGCCCCATAATGCTGGGGCTCCCAGTTTCTGGCAGCTGGGCTCGCTCCAACGCCACACGGTCAGTGCAGCTGCACAAGCTGCAGCTTGGTGAGGAACTTCCCCTTCAAGGAAGGATTCTGTTTTGCTGGGTTTTGACAAGGGCAGGATCTCATGTGAGGTGTGATTGCAATTTACAAACCAACCAGGCTGCCTGGGATTATGGCACAAGTGTTAACTTGCCAGGCATGAGAATATATAGGCATGAGAGTGATGAAGAAACTTTTTTTTTTTTTCAGTTCTCATCTGTGAAATAAAAAAAGCATACAATGAAACAGAGTTTATCCTGGGAGAAACACCAGTGAGGCTTAAAATGAAATACTTTAATGCAACTGACTTTTTATTATTTTCATTGTTGTTTAGGTTTGTACTTCAGATCATCAAATGCAGTTTCCCTGACCAATTTGCCTTTGTTTTCACAGAATAAACACTTCAGTAATTGTCTGAGGCATAAGCTCCCTTAGAAAAACTTGATTACTAAGTAGCAAAATCTCAGGATTAATATCTATAGTGAAGTAAGAAGAGATGTCCTTCAAACAGGAAAAACAAAAAACAAAAAAAAAGCAATAGAGCTATAAGATGAACTATTTTGCTTAATCACCAAAAAGGAGATTGGTTTCTTAAGAACAAGTATACACCACCTCTGCTTCCACCTTTGTGGCTGCACACTTCAAAATGGGAAAGTTGACCTATTCACAACAGCCCTTTAATTAGTGCTGGTAAAAGTGTCGCACTCCTCCAACACCAGCAAAAAAGAGGCTCCTTTCAATTACCTGACTTTATAGTTTCCTGAAGTGTCAGAATTGGCATCAAAGATGAAAAACATGGAAATCCCAGCCACACTGGCTTTTGCTCTTTTTAACCTGACCAAATCTTATGGCAAGACCACAGAAATAGCTGAACTGAGACAGTAGCAGGGGCTAACACAAGTTATCTAGAGATGGAAAGACAGAAAATAAAGAGATTGGTGCTGCTTGGGATTAGGCTTGCTGGTACTGAGTATATTTTAGAAATCATCCCTTTTCTGAAAAAGGAAAGGACACTGACCCCTAGGGTCATTTGGGAAACACACAAACTGATGTACCATTGTGTAGCATGGTGCTCGCATTACAAGATAAAAAGTCCTGGGAAGGAAACACTACAAAAGTCAAAAAAAGTAAATTAAAAAAAAGCTTTAAATCATTATGCAGACTGCCTAAATTTGCATCTGCAGGCAGCCCAGGAATTTAAGAATACAAGAAAAATTTTGCTTAATCTTCATATCAATTTTACCTGAACCCTAACTGCAGACAGAGAGGTATGGATGAAAAATGTTGCCTTAGCACAAACATTCAGTTATTTTAATTAATGCAGGACAGAACCAACACAACAGCATATCATGTGAGAATTTCCCTTAAAATTTTAATTTTGAAAAATTTTAAATTGGCTACTAAAATAGTTGCAGGGGGGCGGAGCATTTAGGAATTCATGTCCACTTCCACTTTTCTTCATAGATGTAGACAGGATTAGATAAAGTCATAATAAAGGAAAAGTTAAGTGCTACAGTAGAATTAACAATATTTTTTAGTGCATTAACAGCTAGCTAGTATATCCTAGACAACCACTTAAGCAGGAAATTCTTCTCTAAATGCAATATAAACACTATTCTTGTTCTCCATATAGGACTTGTCTATGGCAAGGAAAGTAACTAAGCAAAGAGTCTTGCAACACCTATAAATACTTATGAAAATAAATGAACTGGATTTACCAGCACTAAAATAGACATAAAGGCCTCTTGGTTTAGCTGTACTTGGAAAACATCTAGTGTTACTCTACCTGGCACTGGCTGCTCCTCAAAAATGGCTGTTTGCAAAGATTTTTTTTTTTTTTTTTTTTTTTTTTTTACAGGAGCACCAGCATCCCATTATAATAAATGGCAAAGCACTATATTTGGTAACAGCTCTTGAAGTATGCAGTTCCTTTAGATTACCAGAGGCGATGTGAAGTCTAGTATGTCAGGCATCTTGAACTGTGTCAGACAAGGCTAGCAAGATGAATAGAGGTTTAAATTTAATTAGCGAACCAGCACCTGACCAAACAAAGGCGTGTCCAGACTGAAACACCCTCATATACTTAAACAGATGCTTTTCTTAATTTTAAGATGTGTAAAGCTGGCATTTAAATATACCAAACCACTGTATAAAAAGATCTGTGAAAGCAACCCGAAGGATTTCCATCAACCCTTCAAAAAGGATGAAAGTGAGGGCTTGTTGAGTGCTGCTCACACATGGCAGTCACAGGGAAGGTTTAGGGCACTTTCCAAAGAAATGAGATCTATCTATATTTTTAATTCCAGTGGACTAAGCATAACAAAGAGCTGAATGAGGTTAAAGAAAAGTCACCAGAAATGGCTCTTCCTCCAGTATCAGCTGCTCGGAGAAACACCAGTGCCACGAGAAGTTCAATAACTGTCTGCACCACCAGGACACGTTCTGGGTGCAGGAAGGAAAGAATTCCTAAACAGAACTACATGAAACTACTAAATTACAGTTTAATTCTGATTTTTTTGTTGCTGAAAGTTAGGGAGGTTGAAATTAATGAAGGCAGACACAACCAAACAGGTCAAGAAAATTTTATGAATAAGAATAAAGCAAAGAATGTGCAATGCTGGGCCTTCTGGCACTTCAACAGTCTGAGGGTTGCTCAAGGATAAAATCTTTTTCAACAACACAAGTGCTTGCACTGAATTGCTATTCATAATTCAGATTTGAGAGATAGTATGTATACACCTTAATAGTTAATCTAATGTAACATCATTGCATAAAAGAATACCTATAATGGAGTTGTAAAGAAAAAAAACTTCCTCAGATGCCAATCCTAGCAGATTTTTATTGGAGTCCAAACAAAATCCTTTGTCAGTATTTCCAGATTATTAAACCAGATACAGATCTAAACACTGCACAAATTGAAAAGGAGTCCAAGACCTAAACATTTATTAAAGAACACAGAAAGACTGAAAACCTAGGAAGAGCTATAATATTTCTTATGATAAAGTTATGTTAAGATTCGTTGCAGAATCTTTTCTTTAAGTGATGTTGGAGCTTAAAAATAAAGGAAATTGAGAAGAACAATGGGACAAAAGTGCCTGTCCGCAGCAGGATTAAATGGCTTTAGAAAATTATACCTTATATTTTCTTCCCATGATCTGAAGAATTTATCATAGTTTACTTCGTCATGACTTATCTAGGAGTCATTACTGCATCAATATTGGACACGCTAGAGAAACAATTGAGATATACATCCACTACATCTTCTCATCCATAACAGCAGCTCTTTTCTTAGTGAGCTTCCTTAAGCAACAGCTGGGGATAAGTTAAAACTTTACAATACTATCTAAAAAGCACAGTCATTTCTATCTCTCTATAGAAAAGTATATTTTAAAATATGTCCCTTCGGTCTGCAATACAAATATATTTCAAGGGAAGAAAAAAAAGGAAAAGCCCTAATTCTCTATCTTATTCCAATGAATGAAAAAAAATCCTACAGCCTTTGCTCTTCCAATAAATAACTCTAAACAGCAAACCACAGTGTAAATGTTCTAAAATTCCTTCCATGACAAGATCAAATCAAGCTTTGGTTTGGACATGTTACTTATAATAGCAATGATGACAGTTTGGGAATACAGTCTCATTTCTAAACTAAGTATACATTGCAAAGCTATAGTGAATCCGAGTCTGAATTAAACTCAGTCCTGATTTAATTAAAATATCTTATTTGACCATGCATAGAGCTTATGCTATGGAAAAGAATGAAGCTCCATTTCCATTTGTTTCTATTTTCATAGCATTGTGATTGGCTACAAAGGTTGGAGTTCATATTTTTCAGACTACTAACACCTTTTTTTTGGTTTTTGGTGTGATAGTCTACTGAAGTGCAAAGTTTGTGCAAAAAGCTACAAATCAGCCTCTGCAATCTTTTAAAACAGGTGAACATGAAACCATGACACAAGGAAACACAACTGTAAATCTTCTCTTAACCAAGAGAAATCTACAGTACCTGTTTAGTCTAATTTGCTCTTCCACTTAAATGGGAATTGGAAGAGAACAGGTTCATCTTTTTATGTAATTATTCTGTTGACCTGAAAGCTTGAAGCTAATTGTGCAAAGCGTTGCAGTAATTACTCAGGATTAACAGATGTTTCACTCAGGCTGAGATACACTGCAAAATAAATACTTGAATTGGCCTAAGAAAACACTGTAATTTTATTGCCTTACAGCAGGTTAGCAGTTTAAAACTCTTTGGTAACCTGCAGAGATGGTTGCATATCTTCAAATAGAGAATTAAAATTAAAATACTATTTATAAAATAGTTTCACATCAAACAAAACTTAAGCAAGAGGACATAAAAGGAGTCCGCAGGAGTTCCGCCACAGCATGTATTTGCATTTCATGATTTTTCTCATATTCCAGCCCATTCCTCAAAAAGGCAGTGATATAGCAAGGGAAGAATAGAAACTAAAACCTGGCAGAAGCTCCAATATGAAATTGGCGATGGAAACAGGATGCAAACTGCAAGAACAGCCCTGAAACCACAGCAGCTTCCGAAGCACCATGAGTTGCCTTGTTGGCTTGTGTCTTCTGTGTGGAAAGATTCTTATTCACTATTTTTCAAACATCTATAAAATGAAAATGTTGCACACACAGCACAAGTCAGTTTACTCAGAGGGATTCCAGATGAGTTAAAGAAAAGATAATGGCTTACAGTTCATATGCGGTTTGTCTTGGCAGTTCTGTTTGATATCTTGGTTAAAGCTCACTGCTTCAAGCACATAGTAGGCAGTAAAAAGACCTGGCAGAAGGTTAATATAAATAGTAAGAGTTGAATTTTAAAAGCCCAGAAAAGTCAAAATGTTAGAATATCATAGCATGCTCCCAGTGCTACAGTGGTGTCATTAGTTCACAGAATAAAAGGTAGAGGAAAAAAAAAAAAGAAAAAGTGTGCCAGCCTGTAAACAAGCTCTTCAAGCCAAAGACTATTAAACTTCAAGTGATTTCAAGGAAAATGCTTTAGAGAATTAGAAAAATAGGAAATAACACTAACCTTCCACCCCATCACAATTGCAGGAGAATGTGTTAGAGCATCTCACAGTCTCAAAATGAGTCTAAGCACAAAAGCCAGCTTTTGATTTCACATGCCCAACGTTGCATGCAGAACTGATCCTGATGGCAAGAACAAACATCCAGTGTTTGCATGAGCCAACAAAGCAGCAAACTGTTTAATACGTATTACAGTTAAAGCTTATCATCCAATATGAAAGATTTACGGAAGTGGACACTATTTACAGGCAGATCATTCAGTCATACAGCCTAGGAAACACACACAGTTGCATTACAGTTTGCCATTATTTGGAAATCCTCCTAGCACATTGAGGGAAGCAACAAGAGGACTCCTGGACATACCCCGCCATCTCTGCTCACACAGCACACATATGGCACAGAATTGACATGGCTGCACCTAGCTGAACACACAACCACCCACTTCTGCTTTGATTCAGGATTAATTTCAAAGACAGCTTTGCTAGGAAAAAAAAAGGTGTTTAATCCCTGCCTACCACCGAACATTTGTGCATGTGCATAATGGCTCAGAGAGCCACGCTGCAAGGAGTCACTGAAGCAATCCATGGTAAGCAAAACACACTCAGATGCCACAATATTTTTAAAAGAAAAATGTCTGGGAAGGGAGGAGGCAAAGGGGAACCACTAGACCATTTGCTATTGTGTCTCATTTCAACCAAATGGCAGTAATAAGCCACAGGCTTGTTATGTGTTTGCATTGAGTACGTTTGTCTGTGTCTTGTCAACATACTTTAAAATTTAAAGATATGATCTGTGCTTCCTTGGTCTGACAGGAGTTGTGTATTTAAAGCAACAGATTAACAAGGTATTTTGCTCTCAAATCCAGCGAGGATGAACCAGAGCACTGGAAACTACCCTATCATCCCAGGACACCTTGGAAACATAAGCATGACACCTACTTTATCACCACAGGACAGTAATAATGAAGCTCCGCCCTACTAAAGGCAGAAGAAAAACTAAAATTTCTTCCAAGTCACTGGTTGCACACAGCCACTGAAGTACCCAGTGAGACATTAGAGACTGAAATGCCAGTTGCCTCAAGGGGCTATTTGCAACTACCAGCCAAACAACAAAAAGCTACAGCACAGAGCAGCTGTACCAGCACAACTGAAGGGACAAAAAAAAAAAAAAAAAAACCACCATGTTGCAGGATGGATAGTCTATGCCTGACATTAATAGTCATGTTCAACTGTGGAAGGCAAATTCTTATATGATCATTAATGACTTCAAAGGATGATATTCAACATCCTCCTTAAACACCGCTGCTCAACCAAGGGGGATAAAGAAGTGGTTTGGCCCTCAAAAATTAACTTCTATGTTTCTGCAGAAGTTATCTTTGATGAATTATGCCAAGTTTTGCTCAAGGTGATACAGTACTCCCACCAGACTTGTCTTATCAAAGTTATGAACAAGCCTGTTTATTGCCTTACCTTATTGATTTAGCAGTAGTAGCTGGGGCAAACACCATTCTCTATCTCAAAACCATCCAATACATTAACAGGTATAGTACTACAGGTGGGCTATGGTCAAGCATAGAATTTTGCTAACTACAAGTTCTCCCATAGATAAAGAGGATAAATTCTGTCAAAAGCAAACCTACGGATGTATATTAGCACCTCAGGAATCAATTAGCACATATTTTCCATTGTCTTCAGGCACCACATACACAAAAATGCTCAACATAGCAAAAACTCTGGACTTCAGCCTTAATCATTGTCAACCTGGGTCTAGGCTGGGCAGACTGAGGGAAATAGAAATTTGTCTCTTTTGTAATTTATTGCACATTTCCCCCTTTTCTCAGGGTAGATGCCAGGACAAAAAAAAAAAAGTCAGCTGCTACTTGAAACAGATTGGAGTACCTAGAATTAACATGAGGAAAGGTGTTTGTGTGAAGCCTGTACAATTTCTTTAAATGCTCAAATGGCATCAGTTGTAATTCACTGTACGTGAAGGAGGCAACAAAGTGAACGTAAAAAGGCAAAAGAGAAACTTCCAAAGCCTTAACTTACTTTCCCTGCCCCTAACTTTGATAAAGTGAAAGAAGAGAGATCTGATGCTTACACCACATACATCAAGCTTTTAATTCACACAATTTAGTTGAATACGTGGTTTGATCCCCCAGGAGATAGCTACCATGAGTTCATATTTTGAGAAAGGGAGAACATACTTCAAGAGCTGTCAGATTTTACAACAGATGAACAGGACATTTGTGTCACAGAATCATGATGTTATCCACGTACACTACTGCCAATGCTGTTATTGGGATGTGAGGAGCACAGTATCCACTTGAAACATGTAGCACAGGGCTCAAGCAGTCATGAGCAGTTTGGGACAGCATTCTCAGCTCAGTTATCCAAAGCACAGCTCCCTGCTATTGCTGTAGCTGCATGCAATTTAGAGGCCTGTAAGTGCAGTACAGGCCACCCAGGTTATTAACACTTCACCTCCTACTTTAATATGAAAGAATGTAGGTGAAAGCAATTAAAAGAGCTCAGCATAGTGGCTGTTGACCCTACTTGGAGAAACGCAAGCTTTTATTCCTCAGCAGAAGGCGGTGGGGCAGCTATACTCAGTAATCCTTGATCCAGATGGAAATGATGATCATTTCAAAGCCAGACAGATGCACCCAAATCACTTGCAACTCACACTGCATTTAAAAGCAGTCCTATTACAGATAATATACTAGAAAAAAATGCTTGTCTACTACAACTACAGCTAACAGCAAGATCTGTTGTCACCTTGTGCCTTGTTTTTTTTTTTTAAGGGCAAATTATGGGGTTTTGTTACAGCTAACATAGCTGAATCTGAATACAAGCAACCACTTGCAAATACAATCAAACCATGTAGGCAATTTTTGCACGGTTAGAAGATCACAAACATTTCAGTAGGACTCTGTTTTAGTTATCTCCCACTGGGCATTCAGTCACTTTACCACTACTTATTTTCAGACTTAACCTTTTGCAGCCAAACATGAGGATGATGCTGTGGAGACTGGACAACACAGCCACACAATCAAGATAACAGCAGAACTGGAAATGGCTAGCTTCGACGAAATGGGAAGAAAGCCTACAAAGGCATCCCCCTAGGCTTCAGCCTTGATGGGAATGAGGAGCTCTGACTAAAGGGTGTCAGATGACCCGCCTCTGCTTTTGCTCTAGCTCCAGGCTGGAAATATCTGTCTGGTACATATTTTTTGAGAAGTAGCATAAATGGTTTCAAAGTCTCTGAATAAGTGTTTGAATCGTGCAAGTTTTAACTGTTTCTAATGGTTTGAGCACAGATACTGGGTGTAAATCAGATTGAGACATCTCATTAGACATATAAATATAGAAGAAAGTTTTAAGTAACAGATTTTTTGGCTCCCATTCTACAAGGGCTTGCAGTCTAGTTCTCCCTCGGTGCAGAAGCACCAAACCACATTGCTGAGAGGAGAACAGCATCCTAGGTGATTCCGTAGTATCTAGCAATGCAGTACCCAATAACCACTGAGCACCCAGTGTCTTCAGTTCTCATTAAAAAAAAAAGTGAAACAACTTATGAGGTAAATACATGGGTACACTCACAGTATTCTTAGTGGTTTTGTTTTAATAGAACTGCCATTGGTACTAAGAAGAAAGGACACTGAAATACTGATTCTAGTTTTCCAGTTCCCCTTCTGCCAGATATATTGTAAAGTTTATTTCCAGGTTCACGAGGACATTTCATTATGGATCCTAATGTTTTCAGCTAAGAAAAGGCTCATGCAAGAACTCCTCACTTTTTACTGAGATTTTCCAGGCAGCTTCTAATTGAAGGCTCCAGATCATGCAACAATTAAATACCAGCTCCAGCAACATGTTTGACCAGCAGACTTTTCCTCTGACACACACAGAAGCCCCTGTAGCTATACTAAACAAACAAAAAGGAAAAACAGCTTATGGAAAACAAGCAAAACAAAACAACACAATAGCCCTGTAAAAGGCTAGAAGGACATTTCAACCAGACAAGTCACAAGACTCTGTCCCAACATACATGAAGGCATAAACTACAGGAAAAATGTGACTATATGCTTAGAAAAGCTACTTTCTTATGCAATTTGCAAATTATATGTACAATTGTTAGAAGACTGATGGTATATATTTCTTTTATTTTTCATAATAGGAAATGGGAAAGATTGAAGACAAAATTTGGTTCAAGAAACACCATCTCTTCCTAGACTTTGTATGCCACAGGAGGGGAAAAGAAACTTTCATTTGTCCAACAAAGCTTACTTCTGATGTTTCTGCATGACTGAGGGATCATGGGGGAGAAATTAAGGAATAGGGGAAGATTATGGTGAGATTAAAATAAAGATACATTGCAGCAGTGCTGAGACTCACTGTTGAGATTACAGTCTGGGGAACAGCAACTAAGTAGCCATCTCAAAGAGAAAGCAGTCTTATGCTGTTGGAGCTGTTATGCATAAAAGCATCATATTCTCTTCTGTCCTTGCCCCGGGAGAGTCCATTATAAGTGAGTCCATTATGAGTGAGACTGGAATATTTTTAGCACAGAAGACTGCCACGGGCATGCTGCCTTCTAAGAGGTTACATTCTCAATTGAGGCAGCCGCTGTTGCAAGAGATTTTAGTTCTCCATTTGTAAGTTTTTCCGTAAGAAAAAATTATTTAAGTAGAATATAGATACTCTAGAATTTATTAGAAATCTTGTAGTGTTTTGCCAAAAATCACTATTTCCAAAGTAACTTCTAAATACTTTGTAGCACCTTTAGCACCAGATTTCTGAAGTGGAATAGGAAAACAAGAACTGTCTATTGTCTCCTTTCTTTCTGTTTCTTAGGCACTCCCCTGTTCCTGTACTACTCAACCTAAACTTTGCACAAGGTGCATAATCATATTTCATTTGCTATTTAACACCTATTTCCATTTTCAGGAACTTATGACAAATAGATGCCTTACAAAGATAGTCTCTTTGTTACTGCTAGGAGTCTGTTTCATTACATAGATAATATCAATTGTTTCAGCATAAGCATAAAATACTGAATACCGGAATGTCCCACAGCAGACTTGCTATATCGCCAGGTTTGATTTTATCCAGTTATTCATCC